CAGAGGAGAAAGTTGGAAATGACAGTCAGCCCCCAGCAGCAGCCAACACAGAAGAGACCAGAGTGTTCTCCACAGAGGACGCAGGTGGGATGGAGCTAACCTGCCAGTTTGATCTCACAGGGAACCAAAGAAGCCCTCCAAGCTGAACAAGTTGAAGAGGAGGCTATCAGAAGTGGTCGGAGAAACCACCCGGGTCTTTGGGGGTGAGGACACGGCCATGATGGACCTCACAGTTGGGATCGGTAGTGTCATGGAACCACAGATATCCAGTGGAAATGACATGATATCAACTCAAGACAGGGCAGAAACTACAGGTGGAGAGAAGACAGCACAGATGGACCTCACTGTTGGTGTGGGGAGCATTCTCAACATACAAAGGTTGTCAGAAGAACAGGACGGTGACAAGACCAGAGTTTTTGGCAGAGAGAGCACTGCTCGGATGGATCTGACACAGGGTTTCGGTGGAATCTTGGCTTCAGCCTGCACTCTAGATGGAAACAACAAGCTTGACCCCATCAGAGGTGTGCAAGAAAGGAGCATGCCTGTTCAACAACACAGTAATGGTAGCTCAAAAAGTTTGCCAGAGGAGAGGAACTCAGGGATGGTTGACCTCAGAAGCATCAAGGAAGCGACTGACAGAACGCAGGTGTTTGGTGCAGATGACGGTGGTATGGAAATGACTCGATGTCACACCGGGGTGCTGTCTGAAGACGCCAACCTTCTCATATCTGCCAAGAGGAGAAAGACGACAGCGCAGGAAAAACGAGTCAGTTTTGGTCCCAGCCAAACCCTTGTCACAGCCACATCTAGCTTGCCCACCATGACAACATTAGACATGGCTGACAAGACCAAGATCTTTGGCTCTGACACCACAGCCTGCATGGATGTAACCAGCTGCACTGGTGGCATCCTTGGCCAGAATGTTCCTCAAGTTACTCGAGAAACCCCTGCCAGACCCTTGTACAACCTTGCAGACCTCACCACCTTTCAACAGCTCAGTAAATCCCGCAGCAGCCTCCCGCTGTTGAGAAGCAGAACAAGCCTGGTGTCCGTGGCTAGAAGAGCTTCCACAGCAGCGGTCAACATGCACATGGTGGGTCCACAACCAGACTCGGACTCCACTGCATCACTGCAAAAAGAAGAAACACCAGAGCCGGTTGTGACAATACTGCCAGCGATGGAAAAAGTGTTAGAAACAGCTACAACTCCACCTGCTAGTGACAGCAATGTGGCTGTTGAAGAAACCCATCCCAAGAGCACAGAGGCGGACGTGGTTGCCCCAGCTGTGGAAAACAGACCTCCTGTCCCACCCCTCTCCATTGCATCTGCAACAGGTGATGACAGAGGCGATCCTGGCATCATCAGTCCTGAGTTTGACCTACAGAACGAGCAGCTGGAACTGGTGGAGACCACAGCAGAGTTCCTGGCAGCCGTGTGTCAGGAGAACTTGACTCTGCCTCCTGCCAGACCACCAGGTAAAGGACTCTTTATCTTTTACGTTCTATGAATACAGTAGCAGAAATAGAAATAATAAGTCAATATTATTCATCACATCACCATACAGGTTAATAGCAGATCCTTATGTCTTGTCTCACAGTGATGTCCCAGGGTAGCTCCACCCTCCCCTCTGACCTGTCACAGGCCAACAGCACTCTCCTGGATGTGACCTGCAGGTCAAACTCAAGCTCAGACAGATCTGCTCTTGGTGCCACAGCCATGGAAGGGCAAGATGACATGGTAACATTTTCACACTTCCCTGTCTGAAATTGAAGTGAAAGGTTGCTGTCACTCAGTCAGGATCAATCTGTTGTTGTCTTTGACTACTGTAATAGCTGGCTAAACAGGGATGCAGGTGTACAGCACATCATAGATTGGTTCCTCCTCTTGCTTTGACTCTTTGAGTTTCTCGCAAATGTGACTCAGCTTGTGTCTCCCTTCATGTTAGTTTGTGATTGGAGATCTTCCATTCCATACCAGAGTGCATCTCGCCCCCTCCCCCCGCAGTGTATTACACAAAGTTAAATAAATTGTTTC